CCCCCCACAACACCATGGTGCATGACAACGCAGCAAGGTCGAGGAGCAACAGGAGCCGTGTCGAGGGAGGGTCCATAAACCCCTTCAGCATACGATGGCCCGACGGCAGCCTATTCTCTAGAAGGGACGTTGTGCATGGAACCCAGTGCACAGGTGGTAGGCACCTATGGCAACTTAGATACGCATGGGAGCTTCAAGCAGATATGGAGGAAGAGGATAGACAACGGCTTGAAGACGAGAAGGATAGGGAACGGGACAGGGAGGCGGAGAGGTACCTCGGGAAGGAGAGAGAGAACCCAAGGTCGCTGGAAGAGGAGGCTCAGAGGGAAAGAGAAAAAACCCGGGGCCTTCGTGCCTCCAAAGTCGAGCAAGAGTGCTGGCTAGCGCTCAATATGGCGAGAAGGATTGAGAAGAAACGGAGGGCAGCGAAGGAAAATGAAGGAGGCAGCTCGCAGAGCAAGAAGACTGTAGATGGCGGAGATGCATAGCGACGGTGAATGGAGGAAAGTGAGCGATGGCGGAGAGAGAGAGAGAGAGAGAGAGAGAGAGAGAGAGAGAGAGAGAGAGAGCGAAGGGGGAACCATCGTCGTGATCACCATCGACTGGGCGCCGAAGAGAGAGAGAGAGAGAGAGAGAGAGAGAGAGAGAGAGAGAGAGAGAGAGAGCTCGAAGATCGCCATCATCTTTGTTATCGCCATCGAGCTGCTGAAGAGAGAGAGAGAGCTGCGATCATCGTCGTCATGGCCATTGAGCGAGCGCCAAGTAACACGCCACGTCAGCTCTGAGCTATCGAAATCAAGCAAGTCCACGTCAGCGCGCCCAGCGCGCATGCGCCCGTACTTGATTACATCTGCACCACGTAGACCCCTCGCCACGTAGTCCTATCGCAGAGAGAGAGAGAGAGAGAGAGAGAGAGAGAGAGAGAGAGAGAGAGAGAGAGAGAGAGAGAGACGTAGCCCCCTCGCCATGTCGCCCTATCGCGGAAGGATAGAAAGAGAGAGACGTAGCCTCCTCGCCACGTGACCCTGTTGCGGAGAGGGACACAGAGAGAGAGACATACCTGAATAGTCTTCGCCACGTCGCCCTATTTCGGAGAGAGACAAAGAGACACAGAGAGAGAGGGAGAAAGAGCATATAATGCTCCCTCGCGCGAGCGAGCGAGCGAGCGAGCGAGAGAGAGAGAGAGAGAGAGAGAGAGAGAGACAGAGAGAGAGAGAGAGAGAGAGAGAGAGAGAGAGAGAGAGCATACGCCCCTCGCGCATACTCCCGCGCACGCGCGAGATAGATAGATAGATAGATAGATAGATAGA